CAAGGGATGAGGAGGCAGAAGATCAGGACAATGAGGAGGTAGAGGAGGACTTTATAGTAGGTGGTCTTCGGCCTCAGGCCTGGGCAGAACTGTTCAGGCAGCACATCCTTGACCCTGTGCTGCCCTGGCTGCGCCAACAGCTGCGAGCCGTCTTTCCCACACACTGGTGGCCTGCAATGGCAGCGGAAGCCTACCTCCTACAAGGCCTGTGTGAAATCGGGCCGGACAGAGAGGGGCTGATGGAGATGACACGGGGCACCATGGGGAACAGAGAGGAGGCATTCGTCCAGGAGCTCCTCGACAACATTGTGCGTCACTGCGGCGAGGAGGCGCACAGACTGCTGGGTCTGCAGGACGCCCACGTGCCTGAGGGGCGGGAGGAGGGCCCTGCAGCCAGGGGGCAGGAGGACAGCCCCACAGCCTCCCCAGAACTGGACCTCACGTCGGGGCCCAGAGTCAGCACTGCATGTCCCAGCATGGAGGAGGAGACCCGCACTGAAGTGGCTGACGTTCCTGTGTCTCCCGGTCACGTCCCCGCTGTACACTCGGTGAGGGAAGCGGAGGAGCCCCACGAAGAGATGGAGCAGGAAATGGCAGCAGGTCCCTCTGCCCGGAGCAGCAGCCCCTCTGCTCCTGGCCACTCGCCTGAGAGGGCCCGGCGGCCCCCTAAGAGGAGGGCTGACAGTGACCAGGACCCACAGCCGCCCTGCAAGAGGCCGCCCCCTCGGCCTCACTAGCAGGCCTCTACTTCTCTTTAGTTAAAAATAAATTAATTTATTAAACATTACACTGAATCACAGAGTTGTATGTATTGGAAGATTACGTGGAGATCATGTTGTCCAGCCCCTGCTGAAGCAGGCTCCCTGCAGTAGGCTCTTTGTAATGCACTCTGTGATGCCAATGGCTTTCTGGGCCATTAGGCATGCTGCTGGCTCACAGCCAACCTGTTTCCCACCAGGACACCCCAGTCCTTGTCTGCTCTGCTCCTTTCCTGCTGGCATTTTTGACACATGTCGCTAGATGACAGCTTTTTCAGTTTGTTGGAATAGAATAACAATCATTGTCAAACTTCTAAAACTATAAACCTGCATTTTAAATATGTGGGTTGCTCTGGAAGTAATGACTCCTATTTATTTCCTTGGAAACTGCAACAGAGATGAGGATCAATATAACACTATTTAATGGAGCATATTGTCAGCCACCAAAGACTGCTTTTAAACACAGTCACCATTACTGGCTATGCATTTTCTCTTGCAATTGAATAAGAACCTGCATGCCACACATAAAAAATCTGCCCCGGCTGATGTGACTGACTGTCACCATCACCACTGTTGAAACATACCACCCACTGCCTGACTCTGCTCATATCCACTGTTTGGTCTCCATAAACATTCTGCAAGCACTGAATTTCAACGGGTGCCATTTTTTCCACACGGTGCATTTCAGTTCTATTCCTTCACATTCACCTCCATATCAGACACCAATTTGTCAGACTGCCTCTTTGCTGCTATCTGTCACATAGTAACAAAACATAGTGGAATATTGGTGGGAAGGTTCAGCCTCTACTGCCATACCTCCAACATCCACCTCTGACATTGCAGGCCAACATCATAAAATAGGAGATATTAGTTTCGGAGCAGCCGTTGTACTTTTTTGTAAGTACATGTGAAAAATAATTTAAGATCTATTATTACTCCTTTCACCAGTGATGGAAGTCTTGTGTTAAAACATACATATAATTGTAAAACATAGTTTAATTTGTGTTGTTTTTATCATTGCAAAACATATAAAAGGAAGGTTCCTAGACAAGAGGGAGAGAATGAGTAAAAAGACTGACAGAGAACTAAAATTGTGAGAGCATTCCAGGAGAGCTTAGGAAACTGAGTACCAACATCTGCGAGGTTCCTTAATCTCAAGCCCCTTTGACTCCATCCCAAACCCTTGGGTTTAGATTCTCTAATTTCTCAGAGATTTGGGGCAGAGGCAATTTAAGTCAGCATGCATGTTCAGAGTTGAAGTTTGCAAATTTACTTAGTTTCATGCTTGCAATAACTGTGCCAACAGACACTGGAAAAATGTTGGCTTTCATTTCGACTTTGGCATGCTGTTGTTTGGCTCTTGCACACTAGTTATCTGTTCACATTTACCATAAATAATGACTAGAAACCTAACCTGCAACTAGACATTTTAAGTAACTTCTGGAACAGTTTATTTCCTTCTTTCCTCCACCCCCTTAAGACTTTTTGTCTTGTGGGATTTATTTGCAATCTGCTAGATGAAGCTCTAAGGCAAGTTTGCCAGATCTGGGGCTGCATCATCGTTCAGCACATCTGGAAGTGGTTTATGGGCTCTCATTCCTTTGGTGCCGCGTCTGGACTCTGTGCTATTCCTCAGCAGCAGGGAGAGAAAAGAAAACCAGCACAACTCCAAAGTAAACTTTGAAGAGTTTGAAAAAGGAATTGAATCTTAAAACTGTTTCTGTGCCCTGTAAGGCCCTTGTACAGGGGACTTTAAAGGAAGACGATGGGCAAGGAAGCTTTGGCAAGAATGCTGACAGCTGTGGGCTATCTAGGATCCAAGTAAAAAGCTCTACAGCTCTTCAGGAGAAAGGAGTCCCGATTACTGTGCTGCTTTGAAGAGGTAAAAAGACTAATTATGCAGGAAATGTCCGAGCAGTAATGTCACTGTTTCTGAGCTTTCCCTTCTACAGCCCCTTGTTTTGTTACAGATTTTGGCAGCTGAGTTATGGACTGCCAGGTTCTAGGAACTAATGTCTAAATTCGAGAAAAATGAATAAATATTTGAAGGGGAACAAATATTCCTCTCTTTTTCTAGAAACCAGTGGGCGATCAGTCTGAGTTGCTGAAACTTTAGGAACTTTGTAGGTTTGAAATGCAGACTTATTTTGTTTGATTCTTTTGGACTTTGGATTTTAAAATGTAAAACATAGTTCAATTTATGTTGTTTTTATCATGCAGAAGACATCCTGAGGCTGTGACTATTCAACTTTCATTTTGTGGTGATCATCAGTATTATTTGTGACTCTCATTATAATTTAATTAAAAGCAGTCAGCTCCATTGAAGTCAGTAGAAAATTGCTGTTAGCTTGAATGAGGTGAGAATGTTACTTCAAGAGTGGAGCGGTTTTTGTTGCCTCTGTCCTCATCTAAATGAGTAAAATTTGTAATGGCTAATGCTGCAATACTTGTGTAACATGCGAGAGAGGGTACGTCTAAACAGCAGGCTTTTGTGACTGATAAGTTTGTTTTCATATCTATGTAAATGAATGCCACATGAAAGGAGTGGGCTGCTGGAATGCAGGCAAGGGCTGCAGATGTGAAAGAATTCCTCTTAGAAATATTCCTCTCTCTCCAATCGAGTCAGCTGTAAGGGTCTAAATATATGCAAATATATAGTGGCTTGTAAACAAAGCCTCATCATTGCTTTATGTATATTTTTATTACAATTGTACTTGCAAATCAAAAAGTGGAGTCTAACTCATTATGCTCCCTCACTATTAGTATTAACCAATGGGAGAGATTCATTTTGGTGACTTAAGTTTCAAGAATTTTTGCCGTTCCATATTCCTTTTCAAGGAATCAGAATGAACTTCATTTTTGTATGTGCACAGAAACAGTTATATATCCTTATCTAGGCTCTAGTGGATCTGTGTGCCTGTAATTGGGAAAAATGGCTTTCAGTTGTGCAGATAGCTGCTGTAGTGGTGGAATCACATGGTTGTTTCTTCCTTTCCTCCTGCCCCAACTTCTGATGCTGATTTCTTACTGTTGTTTTTTCACAAAAACAGCAGTAGTAAACAATACCAGTGCTTGCAGAATTCAAACAAATGTTATCTGTTACACAGTTCTGTATTTTAGGGGTTATGTTCTTTCCTCTTCAGCATAAAGACACGGTCACTCTTAGGCCTTGTTTAGAAGAGCAGTTTTAGGGAAGCCTACTTCACCTTCTCAAGCATCACAAATACAGTACATAAATCTGAAAGTAATGCCTCCTATTTTATGATGTTGGCCTGCAACATCAGAGACGGCTGTTGGTATGGCAGGACAGGCTGAACCTTCCCACCAATGTCCCATTACATGTTGTTGCCATGTGACAGATGGCAGCAAAAGGGCAGTCTGACAAAGTAGTGTTTGACATGGAAATGTTTATGAAGCAAAATTCCTCCATGCAGAGAAATGGCACCCACTGGCATTCATTCACATTTGCTGAACATTTATGGGGACCAAATGGTGTATGTGAGCAAAATGAGGTGGTGGTGATGTGTTTCAGCAGTGGGAACAGTGACAGTCACCTCTGCAGATGCAAACTTTTGTGAGCACAAAATGAAGGCTCTTGCTCATCAGTGGCAAAAAGGCATAGCTAATGGTGATGACTGTGTTGAAAAACAGCCTTTTGTAGCAAAGAATTTGCTGTATCAGTGCTTCTGTGCTCTTTGTAGTTGTTGTAGTTTCCAAAAAAAATGAATAGAATCATAGAATCATAAAATCATAGAATCATAGAATCATAGAATGGCCTGGGTTGAAAAAGACCACAGTGATCATCTAGTTTCAACCCCCCTGCTATGTGCAGGGTCGCCAACCACCAGACCAGGCTGCCCAGAGCCACATCCAGCCTGGCCTTGAATGCCTCCAAGGATGGGGCATCCACAGCCTCCTTGGGCAACCTGTTCCAGTGCGTCACCACCCTCTGTGTGAAAAACCTCCTCCTAATATCTAACCTAAGTCTCCCCCATCTCAGTTTAAAACCATTCCCCCTTGTCCTATCACTATCAACTAATGTAAACAGCTGTTCCCTCTTCTGTTTATAAGCTTTCTTCAAGCACTGGAAGGCCACAATGAGGTCTCCCCAGAGCCTTCTCTTCTCCAAGCTAAATGAGCCCAGTTCCCTCAACCTTTCCTCATAGGAGAGGTGCTCCAGCCCTCTGATCAAGGATCACTAGGAGGAGTGATCATAGGAGGCACTTCTTTCAGAGCGGCCTACATACAAGCCACTTTGAACAAGTTCCCCTTTTACTGTTGCTGGCTGGACAATTCCTAGTTTGGGAAGTATATTCTGGCAAGAGGTTAGTATTTATGATTACTGTTGTGTTTTATTTGAGATTGGAAATAGATGTATTTATAAATTTCACCTGATGGTGTTTTGACACTGTTTTGACACCATTTTTAAATTATTTTAAGATGTGTTAAAGATGTTACTTATTACTGATGTAGGTGACTGGGTTGTAGGTGACTGAATGTATTAAAACACAATGCATTTCAATTTTTCTCTCTCTCTCTCTCTTTTTTTTTTTTTTTTACAGCAGACCACAGTTCTTATCCAACAGAACACATGGCTCTTTTAAAGAAAAGTAAGAGAGATTAAAAGCATTTTAAAAATACATATTTTTAAAAGAGGGCACTGATATCAGTGCAGTTTCTCAAAACTGCTATAACAGCTGCATGCAAACTCTAATTTTGATAAATTATACTTAAGCTTTATTATCAAAATAGGATTTTTCTTGTAAACTACATGAGATAAGTGTGGTCATAAATTCCACTAACCAGAGATCACTCACCACTTTTCTGTGTGATACTTATGAACTGGGCTTTCCCTCTAAGGGCACAGGTAATGAGCAGCTCCATGTGGGTGTGCACAGAGCACCCAAAATGGCTTTTTAACAGAGCTATGTGCAGCTATGCTCTTCATACTCGCTGTTGAAATGCAGCCCTGAGAAATTTGAGTTCTCATCAGCTGTCAAGATCAATGACTGAAAATTGACCCAAAATTTCATTGAAGCCAGTGGGTGTTTTCTCAGCTGACATCAGTCAGTGCAGTTGGTGATGTGTGAACCAATTTCAACTTACTTGTATGCTCAGTTCTGGTCAGTAACCCTTTTGACTCAAAGAGACTAAAACTTTGTTTCCTTTGTTCTTTTGTACACCTTAAATATTTACCATCACCTTTATGATGGTACAGAAGTGGTGAAGAAGATCTAAAGAACTCCATTGAGTATTTCTTCCCCATTATACCACTGAGCTGTTATGTACTCACAGTTGGCTTATGTTGGATGAATTAATGTAGTACAACGCAAACTGATAGGAACTGTGAAGTCGTAATATACAGCAAGGCACTTGCTTTAGCATGGTTGGATTTGGTTTTACTAGTTAAAGTGTCAACATTTTTATGTGTTTTCAAATATTTTGCAATAAACCCTACCTGGTTTCAGTGGTGTGCTGGGTTTATTTTTCTAGTACTGTTAGAATTTTGCTTAGGTATGCCTTCAAGATTTGCATTCAGTTATTTTTTCTTGTGTCTGAAGGAAGTGTGAGTGAAGAAAAATGTAGGTAAAAATAATTCGTTCTTGAAGTCCCATGGTGTAGCCAATGAAAGAAAGTTCCAGGCTTCTAGTATTCAGAAACATGAATTTAATAGTTTTTATAACCCATGTGTATTGGGAGCTCAGTGATTTATTGAGCAACCAATCAACGAAAATCAGATGGTTGGAAATAAATGGAAAGAGATAGAAATGCATGATGCTATTAACATGGCATTTGTAGTTTGATCAAATAGCAAGAGAAAGGAGATTTTGGCAAACACAGCAAATACACATTATGCTATGTAATGGTTGCAAATTGTCTTTTTTTCTAAAAAGGTCCAATTAGTACTCTAGCTATTAGAGTGATCGTTAACAAATTCTCTGTTTCAGTTAACCAGATCTTACTGTTACTTCTTATATTAACCGTGTGTGCAATCCTGTACAACAAAGTTCACAAAGCACCATCTGCCTTAAGGAATGAAGCAGGTAAATGACTTATGTTTCTGATTTATAGTTCTTTCCTCTTCATTTGAGCAGTCGGGCTTTTGTTTGTTTGTTTGTTTTCCCCTAATTAAACCAGTTTGCCTTGCAGTAGATGAGCCATTTAAGCTGTTGCATGTGGTCTGAGATGCAGAAGTTTTTTGGTTCTGAATTCCTCAAAGAAACTAGCAGGAGAGTGACTAAAAATTGTCATCCTGCTTCAAGTTTTTATACAGATGTCACTGATGAAGTTGTAAACTGGTGTATATCTTCGTTTACACTGAACACTATTTTTCCCCATTTTATCATTAGCAACTTCCTTGTGGTGCAGAACTTTTCACTATTCCTTTCTAGCTTCCCGAAGAAGTGAAGCTCATGCATTTGCACCAGCTCTTCCACTTACCTCCTTCCTTTGATAATTTTGGAATCCATCATTCGATTTGTTCTAAATATAACTGAGAAGTCTCAAAAGTATTCAGACTTCATGTTTCATGTGAATAAGCAGTTACATGGAGGACAGCCTGTTGGGCAGAAAGTACAGAGAACTCTGCATTCTGTTTGGAGACATCCAACAGTCCTGTCCACCTACATGTGGTTCTGGATTAGTGACAGCTCATGCTGTGTGTCTTGGCGAATGTGGATGTATATAACATCTGGTAAGGAAATGGGGTGATTGTGATATGATTCCGCTGTTTGTAGAACTTTGTGCTCGCTCATATCATCCAGATAGGATACAAAAGTTTCTCAATTTTCTGATGTAAAATATGGTTTGTTTCTTGTAGGTGAGTTGGAGAGTCCTAAGGAAATGGAGGAAGAAATCCCAGTTGTAATCTGCGCTGCTGCAGGCAGAATGGGTGCAACTGTAGCAGCAATCAGTAGCATCTACAGCAACACAGAGGCTAATGTTTTGTTCTACGTAGTTGGACTGAAGAACACCATCCCACATATTCGGTATAAACCAGCCTTATTTTATTTCATGCTGTAATTAGGAGCAGATTGTTGTTTTCCTTAGCATGGGCATAACGTTTAGAGGACTTTTCAGGAAATTGCTTCTTCCTTTTGCTTAAGTAGTGCTATTGGTTTCAGTCCCCAGGATTCCCTACATTTAGGAATAAGGATCATTTTGCCCCACTCGAGGCACTGACTAGTTTAAAGGGGTATGAAATAACCAGATCAAGTCCATAGCTGTGCCTTTCTGCCTTTTGTATCTGCAGAAGAATATATAATAAGGTAAGTGACAAGCTTACTTGTTGCAAGCCCTCTTTGTGGCACTGAGCTCACCTTGTGTGGAGTCATATCTTCAGCTTCAGAGTAGCAAAGCCTGCTGCCTAAAGCTAATTTTGGGTAAGACGTAGTGTTAAAGTTTTGAAATAGAGGCCCAAAGAAGCTAGTAATGAAAGTTTGGATGTTAAATTCAAATGTTCCCTACAAATGGAGGGTAATGGCGGTGTAAATCAAAATTAAAGCTGATTGTTTAGAAGTTCTTGCTTCTGTAGCTTGTGTACAAAATGTGTCAAAGTGAAAAGATGTGATGAGTTTTCCCAATCCAATTCATCAATAATCTAGAAAATAGAATGGGGAATGTTCTCTCTGTATCTGCAGTTGGCACGAAGCTGGAAGAGACATTGAGCAGCATGATGAGCTGAAAACAAAGTGTTGATGAGTTGGAAAAATGAGCTGTAAAATGTGATGAAGTTCAGTAGAGATGGAAATAACTGACTGTGTCAGCTCAGGTTGAAGCAGAAGTTTTATAGAATCACGAAATCATGAAGGTTGGAAAAGACCTTGAAGATCACCCAGTCCAACCATCAGCCCATCCCCACCATGCCCGCTGCCCACGTCCCTCAGTGCCACATCCACACAGCTCTGGAATACCTCCAGGGATGGTGACTGCACCACCTCCCTCAGCAGCCTGTGCCACTGCACAGTGCTGTTCTTTCTGAGAATCAATGTTTCCTAATATCCAGCCTGAATGGAATCATAGATTCTATTTGATAACACTTGCCAGAGAGTATAGGAACTCCAGGTGCATAGTAACATGAGAGTAATTTAAGATAGGTCAGAAAGAAACTTTACTATAAGCATAGTGAGAGAGCAAGGGCACAGAGGGATAGATGCTGTCTCAGTGTTCTTTTATTAAGTACTTGGTGTTCCTATATTCTTTGATACACTCATATTGAAAACTACAGAGCTGTGACTGATAATGGACCGCACTATTGTATATGGACATGCGTACACACACACATACACTTCATAGTGAGATATGCTTGTGGATGTATATGGCCTCTGGAAATGTGAGGACATTTTTTGATGATAAGAAATACGACAAAATATTGGACAAAAACAGTTTTTTCCTCTGCTAAATTGTGAATAGATATGATGATCATCTTGAAGAACATAAAGTGGGGCAAAAGGGAAAAAAGCAACCTATTCTTTAATAGGTTTTATTCTTAATTCTTAATTATCTGCACAGCACATAGGATAAGAAAAAAATGGTTTATAGTAAGAAAGACTAAGAAAATGACATTTAATGCTAGCGGTGAAGAAAGATGTGTTGCTGCAGACACAAGTGGTTCTGTCTTGGGGTCAGATAGACCAAGTGAGCTTCCAAGGCCTCTTATTCTCTTATGAGTCTGAGAAAATATTTGCTAAAAGCTGAATATTTATTTTAACACTTTTATTTTTAATCATAGAAAATGGATTGAAAATTCTAAACTAAAAGAAATAAAATTTAAGACTGTGGAATTCAACCCCATGGTACTGAAAGGAAAAATCAGACAAGATGCATCGCGTCCTGAGCTACTGCAGCCTGTGAGTAGACAAACACCACATCACACATTTTCAGGATTTTAATGCTCATTGCAGGTTTTAAGATCTCCCAGTTTTCTGTTCTGTTACACGGGATGGGTATAACTCAAAGAAGCCCCTTCAAGTCCAATGCTAAGCTTTCACTCAAGAAGGAGATGTGCGCTGTAACAAGCTCCTTGCAACTCTTCTGTCATGCTGGGATGTCATCTATTCTGTGGCACAAACTCAGTGATTTGCATGTGTTGTTTAGAAGAGGAAAGGTGTCACAGTGTTCTTTGTGCCTCCATGATATCTAGCGGGCTGCAATCTGCTCATGTCTGGGATTAACTCAGAGACTAGAAACTAAAATACTGCTGGCTGACAAGGGGCAAATCAGATGTAACGAATTATTAGTAAAGGAGTTAGAAACAAAACAGAGAAGAACATTATGCCAAAATGTAAATACATAGTTTTCCCACCACCCTAAATACTCTGTGCAGATTAAACCCTCTTATCTCAAAAGGACATAGAACCACTGGAAAAGTTTTAGGACTGCTCAGAGTGTTCTTTTGCCCTTCTCTGAGCCTGTGGCATTTCTAATGCATGGAAAGAATTTCATGCAATATTTGTGAGAGTGATTTAGTATTCTTTAGCCTGGAAATGGCCTTTTGGCATGAAAACATTAGAGATCCACAGAACTGATTGGTATGGAGGTCAGAATAGGGGATGATAACTTACTGTCTCTTCTCATATAAGAACTAACAGTTATTCAAACACTTTAGTAAGAGGAACAGCCAGATCAAAGAAGAAATGTTGCATGCTTTTCAAGCAGTGAGTACTAAACCTCTAGAACTTGTTGCTAAAATATCTTGTGAACATAATAAATTCACAGGGATTCAGTGGAGGCTGAAGTGGACTACATCTGGTTCAGGAAATTTCTTGAGCTAAAAAACATGGAAGCTGTGGAACAGCTTTTCTGTATACTTGCTGTATTCTTACATTTGTCTGATCATCTCTGCTTTAGACCACTCTGACAAGTGAAATGACCTGAATCAATATGGTTGATTGTGATGCCTTTTCCCTCTTTGTATTCATTGTTTCAATTGTAGAAAATGCTATCCCTCATCTGTGCTATTAGTCAAATCATTTCTGTAGAGTGGAAAGATGGCTATGTTAACTGTGAAGCTAACACATTCCAGGTCCAGGGAAGTTATCATCCCTCTTTACTCAGCACTGGTGAGATTGCATTTGGGATACTGTTGTCCTGTTCATAGCTTCCCAGTACCAGAAATTTATGAATTTATTGAAGTGAGTTCAATAGAGGGCCACAAAGGTGATAAGGGACTGGAACATCTATACGTGAAGAGAGGCAAATAGAGCTGGGACCATTTGGCCTGCAGAAGAGAGTGCTCCAAAGGATCTGATCAGTGTGTTTATTAAATACCTGATGGGATGGATGAAGACAAGAGAGCCAGACTGATCTCAGTAGTGCCTGCTGGTAGGGGAAAAGGCAATGGGCAGAAGTTAAAACTGTAACATTAAATCTCAATGCAAGGTAAATCATTTTTAGGTAGTCAAACACACAGAGCAGGGCGTGACGTTTCCATCTGTGGAGATATTCAGAACCCAAGTGAACACAATCCCATGCAGTTTGCCCTGGTGGTCAGCCTGTGAGTGGAGAGAATGGTCTGGGAGGGATCTCCATTCCAACATAAGTGGTTCTGTGATTCTGACGGAAGATAAACTATTTTGGACTGCGTGGTTAAGCCCACAGTAAACCAAGTGGGATAAATAATTAATAATAATGGGGTCAAGACACTGGTAAAGCTACATGAAAGAAGCATATGATAGTTGGCTAGTGCTCAATGATGAGAGAAATCAAAACAGAATATTAATTGAGACAGTGTCATCTGAAATCCAGGAAGAAAATTCTCTAGTCCCAGTGTGGTGTTATAAAGAGGCATTCCTTTATTCCTCACAATACTTACTGGGCATCTTGACAAGTCAAGCACGTGCTCTCAGAGTTAAAGTTCTACATTTAAACAGTTACAACATACATATGCAATACATTTGCATATTCATTCTTTTCCAAGAACTCCTCAATATATGCTATTGTCCTTCTGGGCGTGCCTGGTAGGAGCCTCTGGTGGTCTTAGACCGCCTACTTCCTCCTCATTTTTCCATCATCATCTTCATCACAATGACTTTTGGCTGACCATTGGCTGTTTTTCCCCAGTTTGGTGGATTTCCATTGCTTGTAATGCCATAATGAGCAACTTTCTATCTTGGGGTGCTATAAGCTAAAACAATATATGTGAAATCCAAGAAAAAAAGTCCTTGCACCCAGTGGTTGCAAAGATAAAAGAAGTCTGTGGTGACTTCAGTGCTTCTGTGAAGCAGGATCACTGAGAAAAAGAAGGCTGTTCATACACCAAGCAAAGCTAAACTGGAAAGTTTTAGAACTAACATAGCACTTATTGATTCCTTTTGCTAAACTAATATATTGGTTCTCAAACTAATATATTGATCCCTATTGCTAAACCAACCTATATTAATGGAAGCTTGAGACTAATGCATTAAACTTCTTTGTCATTTAGGATTTACTCTTCTTTTCCTGTTTAATAGCTGAACTTCGTTCGATTTTACCTTCCTTTGCTTATCCAGAAACACGAGAAAGTCATATATTTGGATGATGATGTCATTGTTCAAGGTAAGCTGTCTCCAAAAAGCAATTTCTAGCAGAATTAGTGTAAAACTTATTGCAGCTTTCATGGTCTAGAAGGAAGCTGCTAGGAATGTTGTGCTTGTGAAAAATACAAATAATCTCTTTATTTATTTAGAGGAAATTTTGAAGAAAAGTGTGTCTCTACATGTCTGCTGAATAGTTGATTGTGATCCAAATTACATGCACTGATTTCATTCAAATTAGATTTGGTCAATTGCTGAAAGATATCTTGGTTTTCACTTGGGTGCTACAATATTTAGTTGTGTTTGTGTCTTGTGTTTCCTTCTAGCATTCAAATTCCCACAAGTGTTGGCAGCGTCTTACCCAGAATTGCTATTTGTTCTTCAGAGTAGGAGGAATTTTCTCAGCTAGGTGGGCTAAAACCCCAAATACTAAAAATGTGACTTCAAACATCTTCAGTTCAAAATCCACAGCGTTTTTCAAATTGTGATCAAAGATGTTGGAGTTCTCAGACAAATAAGAACAGTCAGAAAATACAAACATCCTGAAAAACATATACATATAAATTTTTTTTCGTACAAACAAATCAAATTAGAGGAACAGTTGCTCTTTTTCTTTTTTTTTTTTTTTTTGAGAATTTCTGACCTGCATCCCTCTTTCCTGCACCCACACTTGACATTCACCAGGAAGAAGACTATTGTCAGCCTGAATTAACTTCCTGGTAGGAGTCAAGGCAGTACTCCCACAGACAGCAAGGAGGTGGCCCACAGCAGAGGGGAGGTAGGGCTTTCTCTTCCATTAGGGTATACCAGATTGTGTCAGCTGATACTGCTTCTGGAAACACAGATAAGGTGCAGTTTTTCATTACAGCTTATGGTAGGCTGCTGCCTACTGAAGTGGTCTCTCCTATCCTCAGGCAGCTCCTGTTACTTCTCTTCTTTCACATCTACAGCTGTGAAACGAGCTGACTCAGCTGCTTGACCTGGCAGAAGACGAGCTACGTTAAAAAACAAAAACAGAAACCAAGCAATCAAAAATGTAACAACAACAACAAAACACAAAACCCTTTTTTCTCCTTGTTTCTTCAGTCAGCTTAGCTTGCTCATCCTTGGGCAGTGTAATCATAGGGCTCAGAAGAGAAGAATAAGGTTGGGCATGTGGGAGGAGAAGCAGAGGGTGGGAGTCTGTTTTGGCAGCTGCTTATCTGTAATATGAGAGCTCCCTGTTTGATGCGTCTGGAATGGGAGGGAATAGGAACTCTGACATGGTAAGGAGTGAATGAGGATTTCAGAGTTTAACTTGGGGTTTGTTTATTGGTCAGCTGGTTTCTGTGGAGCAGTAAGAATGAAACATGCTGAACTTTTGGTGCAAAATCCAGAGAGGCTGTGGAGTTTCTTCTGAAAATGTTCACACACCATGCAGACACCTTCCTCTGGAATGTACTATAGGGAGCTTGCTTTAGCAGGGGTTGGACTAGATGATTTCCAGAGGACCCAACACATACAACTCTGTGATTCTGTGTAGTGTTTGTGTATTTATTTTTAATTACAGAGAAGTGTAAGCCCTGCTACTGTGGTGGAGGGGGTGGCCTCTTGCAGGGTGGGTGTAGGTCCTGGTCACTGTTAGTGCCCCTTTTATGGGGCTGCCAGGCACTCCCAGGTGGGTGGCCAGGAGTGGAGGGGCTGCTGCCCTGGGCAGAGGGACCTCAGGTTTCAGCCCTGGCCCTGGCAGCTGCCCACGTCCCAACGCTCACCCCATTGCCACCGTGGGGGATGTGACCCCACTCAGCTCACCTCCGCCACTGCCTACCCATGGATTTGGGAAGGGCTGCCACCCAGATCAGGCCTCATTCCACCTGGCCTTGAACACCTCCAGGGATGGGGCATCCACAGCTTCTTTATGCAGACGTCATGTGTTAGGCTATTTCCCTCTGTCAGGAAGGAGTTGGGTGGGTTGGGAAGCCTCCAGTGTAACATGCACCTTTCAGCTGGCCAGTGCTCATTGATCAGCACTGGGAATGCAGGTATCTTCCTAAAAGGTGTAAACACAGTAATATCAGGAAAACAAAAACAAACAAAAAACTGAAAAGGCATTTCTGAGGGAAAGAACTAATAGAATGCATAATTGTAACCATGCTTCTTAACAACGTACTCAGCTTCTGCTTTAGTTGTTTTTGGATGTTCAGACCAGATTACTATAATCAGTATTCAGTACATCCACATCTGAAGTTAGACATCCAGATACAGGACTCAAATTTGAAATTTTTCCCATATTGCAAAATTCAGCCCTGACTGATACCTAGAATATCTGCTGAAACTGTCAAGCTTTTAACTAGCATATATGAGAAGTTATCCTATCATCTGTGTAGCTGTGTGATACATTTGTTCTTATGCTTCTGAACTTTGAACAGGTGACATTCAGGAACTCTATGATACAAAGCTGGCTCCTGGCCATGCTGCGGCTTTTTCAGATGATTGTGATCTCCCTTCCACGCATGAGATGGTTAGAAGTGTTGGGATGCAGGTAAGATGCTGTTCTGTAAATTCTAATTGTGAATAAATGCTATATGGATCTACATCTTCCCCAAAGTATATATGTAGTGACAGGATGTGGAAAAAATGGCTTTAAACTGCAAGAGGGCAGATCTAGTCCAGATAACAGGAATAAATTCTTTACTTTTACCATGAGGCTGGTGAGACACTGGAACGGGCTGCCCAGTGAGGTTGTGGATGCCCCCAGCCTTGAGGCATTCAAGGCCAGCCTGCACGGGGCTTTGAGCAGCCTGGTCTAGAGGGAGGTGTCCCTGCCTATAGCTGGGGGTTTGGACCTACATCATCTTAAGGGTCCCTTCCAACCCAAACTATTCTATGATTCCATGAAAGTTTTCTTCTAATTTTTTAAAATGATTTTTTACTAGTTTTACAGTTAATCAAGAACTACAGTTCTGTACAGAAAGACCAAAATGTGGTGAGGAGAGAGCTTTATAGAACTTCCATGGTACAAAACTGTGGAAGAAGTAATTCAGTAGCTGGGAGCACTGTGCCTTTCAACCCCATGTCATATGGAAATTGAGATAGGTAATCATCATCTAGAAACTCAGCTTTGGGAGTGTATATTTAGTAACACAGAGCTACACTTAGTCTTATATTCATTGAGATTCACAGGGAATAAATGTATTTCTTTTTTTTTTTAAACTTCCTAGAACACATACATGGGATTTCTGGACTATAGAAAGCAAGCAATTAGAGACCTTGGCATCAGCCCCAGCACCTGCTCCTTTAATCCTGGCGTAATTGTTGCTAACATGACTGAATGGAAAAATCAGCGGCTCACAAAGCAGTTGGAAAAGTGGATGCAAAGAAATGTAGAGTATGTATACAAATCTAACTTTGCACTTAACTGTAAACTGAACATTAAAGTATCATCTTCTGTTTGTAAGCTCTTTAAAGATTGTAACTCTATCAACAGTCTTTTCATTGCTTCATGAAATCCCAAAGTAAATTTCCACATGCTTAAACCTGATCAATAGTGTAACAGGAAATACCACCCGGAATTTCAGTCTTGCATTTAATCCCAAACCACACTCAATCCTGAGAGGCACTGAGAACACGTGGTTCTTGTTTTGGATGACCAACCTCACCTTGGTTCAACACACTTACCTTCCCTTCTTGAGGCTGGTTTAGAGAGAAAGGAATATTTCCTTGTTTGTGTGGGGTCTCTCTAACTGAACTGTCATTGGGCATCACATTTCTTAAAATACCAGTAAAAAACACTTCTCTATAGATGAAATGAACCTGATGTGAAAGATAATTTTTTAGCTTTGACTATGATGGATATAGTGAGAACAGTGTTCATTTTTTTTTTCATTGCTAATCTGTTTGCAGATTTGACACTTCCTTTCCCTGCAAAGGCTTAAATTTAGGAAAGCTAAATTGAAACAATTATTTGTGCTTTTGGACTCCATTCATTATTGGTTATTTTCAAGACTGAACAAAGGAGGAAAGACACAAACAATGAGCATGTGAATGAATGAAAATCTCCATGGCTTTCTCTTACTCTGTTTACAGACTGTTCTGAAAGGCCACTGCTATGCTTTTTATGAGCCTGAAAAAAACCTCCATGAGCATCACATCAGATTCATTCTAGAAAGATGATTTTGTACCATAACAACACATTTGTGTTCCTTTTAGCTCAATATTGAAACCACAGTGAACTGAATAGCTTTGTTATTAGTCAGAAAGAGCTTTTGAAAGTTACGATTTTTATTTATTTGTTGTTCTGTAGCCTCTGAGCACCTCTTGATACTTCTCAGGCTTCCTCCTTGCTGGACTCAGCAGACAGCACAATGTCCTGCAGGCACTGTGGCTGCTCCCATCTGCTGCGTGGCCAGGCCTGCAGCGCACTGTGGCCAGACATCTGCCTGCTACCACTTAAGCCTCCCTTCACAGTAATTTTGCTTTTTAAAAAAAAAAAAAACCACAAACCCTGCATTTTTCACAGAACTCACAGGAAATTAATATCCATTAGCTGCTGGTTTATACTAACCAGTCTGCCAAATCTGTTCTGAAGTTAACTTCAGGCCTCAAAGTTGGCCAGGTGGAAAGCAGAAAGAGGACAGATGCATGGCAGCGTGTACATCTTCCAAAGAAACCAGTCTAAAATAGGTTTGATTCCTTTATGTTGACAGCTTCTTTTTCCTACTACAAACTTTTTCAGCCTCGTAGACTGCAGGCAGTGTGCAGAGTGCTCAGCTTCATGCTGGGTCTGACTCCCAGCACACTGCTTTGTAGCAACAACCTACTTAGCAGGAATTGGAGCTCCAAACACAAACAATTGAACAATTAAAAGCATTAGAAAGGAATATGCTGAAAATCAGGCTGTTCAGAGTACTTACGTGTTTAGTTGTCTGATCTTTGCACTAAAGACTCTTTGATTGAGGTTCAGACATTTTCTTTGTTCTTTTGCAGGGAAAACCTCTACAGCAGCACCCTTGGGGGAGGTGTGGCGACCTCTCCAATGCTGATTGTATTTCATGGAAAGCATTCCACTATTAATCCTATGTGGCACATACGGCATCTCGGTAAGTTTTAACTTTCCATTTGCAGCTGGAACCCAATAAAGTGAGAGGTTAAGATTCCAGTATAGGACCTTACATTAGTTACAGGACTGCAGAATAATTGATCCGAATTATCTTGAGCCACGGAAAAGAGTGTATGAAAGATCTGAATATAGTCACAGACTGAAAAAAATAAAATCAGACACTTCTGGCAGGCACAGCAGAAGCACATGGGATGCCTGGCAGTCTTTGTGCAGCCCACATTCTGGAGGATGCAGTCGACATTCACCTGGCAATGGTGACTTATCCTGAGAAGATAATAGCTCAGCTAGCAAAGTAAAATGAACAGCATGATGAAGCTGTTTGTAAATCCCAGCGACCACGATGTTGCTGTTGAGAGGAAGCTGAGATTTTTCAGATGTGGAGTCAAAGAGGCCTGAAATTGAAAAATGCTGCTCTATTTCACAGTTAGTTGCCTACTGACGGGTGAAACCATGCTAATCAGGCTTTTTAAAAACAAACTGTATTTACCTCATTGTGCAGTGTCTTCCAGTACTAAAAGCTGGATTTTATTCCATGTACTCATGCAGGTTGGAGTCCTGATACCCGGTATTCAGAGCATTTTCTCCAAGAAGCTAAATTACTTCACTGGAATGGGAGATATAAACCTTGGGACTATCCCAGCGTTCACACTGATCTCTGGGAAAACTGGTTTATCCCTGACCCTTCAGGGAAGTTCAAATTAACGCGTCCTGACAGCTGATAATGAAAACACTTCAACATATTCAGACCTTTTGGTTTGCAGTATGCAAATAGTTGGTGATGCAACACATCAAATCGTATAACTAACTGATTTTAGAAAAATGTTGCTTAAATATTGCCATGAAACGACTATCAGTTTTGAGGGCTTATGGGTGGTATGTTAGTTACACAGTTCAATTTTTTTTTTTTTTTTTTTTAAATTTTCAAATAAAGTGAGGAAACAAGTTTATTTTACAATGAGGTATTTTCATTAAATATTTACTAAGGTGAAGTCAGATAATGTGTTTCAATGTGAAGTCAAGTATCTGCCAGGAGGAGAAAAATCTACAGAGGAAATAACTTGATATTAAATACAAGGTGTCTTTAGTCTATCAGCTGACATGGAGCAGCTCAAAATTAAAACTCAGGCAGCATTTTAATAAGTAGAATTCAGCTGCATGATGATCATTTTGCAGAGTTTTTCTCTGCAGAACACTGTATTCATGCAGTCAGTGTATGACATAGTCTGTAGCTCTGTAGAGTATTTAGGCCACCGCTAGCAGGATGTAAAAGGACACTCAAAGACACTGTGATACAATTCCTGATTTTATTGTGAAACAGGGAGAGATTTAAGACAGATTAAGAACCTCTGGATTACTGTAATGAAAAGAGCACCGGTCCCAAGGGAGTACACAAACTGCAGTACTGAGTGAAAAGGTCATTATACATGTAACTGTATTTTACACCTAGTAGGTGCCTCTGTTCCAAAAGGGACCTTTCCCTTCAACTCAAACAGGAGAGCAGTACAGTAGTTCTGTACTACTGTGCTATCTCACCAGCAGTGAGAGTTACATGCTTCTAACTTTGCTGAAAAATAAAATTGAATTGTAACAAATCCCTGACACGAGGTACTTTGAGCACCTGTGGGAAAACATCCATGTAAACAGCAATACGTGATACAGTACACTTTAAATAACAGACAAGACAAATCCTATGCCGTTCTGACACCATACGGAGCAGCTTTATGCTGAAGCTGATAAATACAATCATAATGCACGCTTTCTTGATTTCAGACGCTCAGTTAAGCCACATAATTTGGGAAGAGAACTGTAAACATCATGCCTGCCTCACAACAGGATGGCAGTGTGTGAGCTCAGTGCGAGCTGTTACAGCAGGATTAGCATCTACGCCAACTAATTGCACTCAATGCATGATGACTGCCAGCGGCTGTGAGGAAAGGATAAAGCACCAAAACAGGAACCTGCGAGCAGCACCGAGGACGGAGATACTGCTTGTATCTATTTTTCAAGTATGTGAAGCACCTTCTCTCATAAGATCATCAAAACGTGAACGTTTTGACCAGCTTATTGCTTTTACTTCATATCTTCCTCACGTGATAGAAGAGGGAAAATAGATGATGATTAGGCACAAGCACAGAATCTCCTTTCTTTCTCAGTCGCCAACATTGGCCAAAATTGTGTATTGTTTGAACAAGTTCCTCAGAAGAAAACTGTAGTTCCAACAGCTGTCAACTTAATTAATGGAACACCTGTCCTTGTCTTCAACTTAGTAATCTTTTTTACACATAAGATGTTTAAGAAAAACACCCCCTAAGGTCTTAAGGAGAAAGTAATATAAAAAAAACTGCTAAAGCACGATCTTGTTTCACCCTGTGCTAACTGTACCTGACACAAATAACATAACTGCAGATGGGTTTTTACAGGGAATACAGTCTTTCAATTCCCTGCCATATGAACTGTTCACTTGCTAAGCTTCAGAAGAAGAGACTAATCACAGAGAAGTGACTGACAAATGCCACAGATTTGAGAACCACTTTTCTTTTTTAAGGAATTCCAGTTCCTTTACACTGGAATTTAAGGGAGAAAGAAACGGAATGATAAGAACACCTTATTCTAAGACTAGAATATTTTAGGCCCTGTCCTGAGTGACGTGAATTTTCCTGACCAGTGCTGTCTCTGCTCCCTTAAACTTGACTATGGTCCAGTCACCAAACAGACAGAGCTCTCTATTCCTGCCCTGAAGTGCAAAGGAAGTCTTAAAAAGCACCACTTGTTTAACTGTGCATGATTAAAAGCACCACTTCATGTAAGATAAGGGTGCACTTCCATTTCCCCCTCTAGATATAAAAAGACTATGAGATATCCAAATATTGATGCATCAATAAAAAGTATACTGCTGCTTTTACTCCTACTTTACAATTTATGGAATAAAATTAACGCCCCAAAGGAATCTTCACAAATGAGAAAGCAGTTTGTCAAAAACTGCAAGAAATGGCATACATTAAATATGAAACTCATATACAAAAAAAAGGGATTTTTTTTTTTTTTTTTTTAAAGTTTGGACAGTTCCTTAAAATTACCTAGTTCATTGATTTGAGCCTACCACACACTTACTTAGGACTATAATAAAATATCTAAGGGAGATAAAATATTATTAAAATGCTTCAGTTGGAGAACCGAGGTACCAATCTTGATCACTGCATTAAAACTGCAGCATGTATGCATAGCTGAGAAGAAAGAATTCTTATGCAGTGCTTTCCTCTCGTTCCTGTGTCATACCAGCACTGAATTCTGGAATCTGGTCTGCAAAGGACTGCGTCATCCACTGTCCATTAGGAACTTCACCAAAAGATGACCCCTCACAGTACTGTGGATTGCTTGGTGCTGAGAAATAAACAAAAATTAAGTACAGTTGAAAATGCAGCTGAGACCATCAACTAAGACAAAACCATACAAAACCATCTAGAAAAAAAGATATTTGCAGTTTGCATCTTCCCTTGTACTTTTCAATACCTACTCAGACTGCAGTTCAAACTTATTCTTTTTCAATGCCTGCCTTTGGAGACCCAGATCATTCCCCCTGTTAGGTTTTCATCAGAACTTCTTTGAACTTAAGGATGCCACAAATGCAAGTTAAGAGTCTCAACATTTAAATGAATACTTGACTTTGCAGTGTTTTCTGAGTAAAATTCTTCTTCTCAAAGGGACATTCCCTTTGACAAAATAGACTAAGTATAACAAAAATTAAATTTTGCATTCTAATTGAGATTAGGACTAAAAACTTCAAGATACTGAAGAAGTTTACTTCTGCCATTATTGTTATTATTTTAAATTAATTGGTAGTATTTTGGGAAACAGAATTCCTAATGTCATAGTTACAGGTTGCCCAAGGAGGCTGTGGTTGTGGATGCCCCATCCCTGGAGGCATTCAAGGCCAGGCTGGATGTGGCTCTGGGCAGCCTGGTCTGGTGGTTGGTGATCCTGCACATAGCAGGGGGGTTGAAACTAGGTGACCGTTGAGGTCCTTTTCAGCCCAGGCCATTCTATGATTCTATAGTTACAGCAAGGTTACTAGATTCATTCTTCTAGTCTTCAAACTGTTGTAACAGTTATTCTGTTAGCTACTCTAACACAACTGAATTACTCGGGTTACAGTGTTCAAATACTCCTCCTTCATTTGCCTCACCAATAATAGAACAGTTTCATTTACCATTCTATTACTTTGCTTTCCTTAGGAATGAAACTCATGAAGTGTCAAAAAGCATGACACATTCATACAAAAGTGACTGCAACTGAAGAAGTTTACTGTGCAAGCCACTAGTTATGTCTATTTGTCACATCCTATGAATCAGAGTTTGGGAAAACAGTTTGAAGTTGCAGACGATTGATTTTAAATAAGAGTAAATGTTTTTGTTTTTTTTTTCCCCACCCCTTCCTCCTACAGAGACGACACATTCCCTCAGTTATGTAAGAGTTTAACTGCTGCTATGCTTTAAATATGTTGTATGAATTGTGGAAGTCGCTTAAAGGGTAGAAAATTGGAATGGTTATAAGAAGTTATACAGAATGGTTTAGAGAATGAATGCCCCGAGCACCACCCTTTACCAGTTCCATTTGAAGAGAAATTGCACTGTTCGCTTTCATATGGTGCACGATCGCAGTAAGCTCCTCCATATGCTGCTTCATAACCTGGATCATACTTTTCTTCCTTGACAGCCATCTTTTTAGCATCCTCTGCAGAGAGAACAGACCTCAAGTATTAAGAACAGAAAGTGTTCAAAGAACATTTTTACTAGAGAATATGTGAAAAAAACCCATACGTTTTATAAGATAATTCCAATAACCACTATACCTTGTGCAAGTTGTAAGTCAAACGTGTACTGCACTTCCTGCACCTCTGTGTTTGGTGCAATGCCTTTCAGCTGATCCCGTAAGTCTTTTAGCTTTATGTAATAATGAACTTTATCTTGCGCACGAGGAAATTGAGCACATCTTGCACTGGATGATGGCATAACGTAGCACAGCTTAAGAACAAGAAAAAATAGCATTACTGATCCCTAATATTTAGTGCATCAAGAGTAACTGACAGTTAAGCTCATGTTATTGTTCTACTTTTTTGCACAAACATCCACTGATACCAAAGGTGTTTCTAGGAGAGAATAAAAGGAGTTTATTTTTCCTGTCCAGCTAGCTGTCTTGCCCTAAAGAGAGGGGCTGAGTATCAGCTGATGAAACAAAGACAATTCACACCACTCATTTACACACTGTAGGAGGTGATCAAATGTGTGCTACAATAATTACAAGCATAAGCCAGACAGGGAAGCACACTGCAGAACTCTGTGAACAAGTGGAGCTCACAGCCAGAAAGGCCACAGACTACATGATAGTATGCAAAAACCCAAATCCAGCACAAAAAGCACAATGAGTTAATAATTAGCCTTACTTCTTGGCCACGTGTGCCTATGTCACACAACTTAACTGAAGTCAACCTTGGTGTTTCCATTTCCGCTGGCAGCCCTAGCTAAAGGCTTGAGGTTAGTTGAGAAAAAATCCCAACCAGTACATTCATTACATAACAGTATTGATGAACAAGTACTTGTAAGGAGGGTTATTTATCATTCTTACATTTCCTTCAGAAGTACTGAAAAGCTACTTAAGAAGGAAGCATTTTATCACCAACAGTTCTTCAGGTTCTGATGGCAACACTCCACCAATAGAGAGGGACAGTTTAAACCACTTGAAACCTGAATCACTAATAATTTGGGATGGATAGAAAAACACCCCAAAAGTTTGAATTGAAAAGGTAATGAAGCTCTGGAATGAGCTGCCTTGGAAGGTAATGCCGTTGCCTTTGCTATTAAGAACAAATTAAACAAACCTATCTGTGATGATACAAAGCTGATCTTTTGGATACTTTCCAGCACCAGATGCCAGTGATAAACGAGTACCTTCCAACTGTAGATGCCTGTGATTACTGCACTCTTCATCAAACTGTTGTACTTTAAGCATCCAATTTAATTCCAGGCTGCAAACCAGCTTAAGATGACTGAGGCTGACTGAAGTGCTTGGGCATGCTCAGAACAGAAATGCTGCAGAATGTAAGCTCAATCACAGACTTCATATTTTTTTTTTCCTCAGCTGAGGCTCCCAGCATCAAAATTCAGTAACATTAGCACACAGGTAATTGGACAGAGATAATCAGATGGAAGCAGATGACAGTTGCAAAGGCACATGTGTTTTATTAATTTTTTTAACACTCCACATAAAATGAACTAATCTACTAATCATAATACACTATTTCCAAAATAATATCTGCCAGTCTGATTAAGCTGTATAACAGACGTGCCTGAAAATTGCCCCATCTTTCTCTAATTAAGTAAAAGTCCTTCACATTCCTTGTATTTTGACATCACTGTAAGAGGGTGTAAGCCCTAAGATTTCATTAGTTTTGAAATGACCAAAAAAGAGTGCCCTCAGTACTTACAGTTTCTGTCTCTGGTACTTTGTGTGGCTGCAATCCAAATTCCAAGTTCTTAACCCGGATTCCGAAGACTTCCCTACTAAAAATTTCATAGATACCTGAAATGAGAGGACA